CCTCCCTCCCTCCTCTCACCCCCGCTTTCATCCCACCCTTCTTCATTCCAGCCCGTTTTTCTCCGGCCTTTGCGATTTGTCGCTCTCATGTTGCAGAAAGCCCCTCTTCTCATTACTGCAGGGCGAGGAGTGCGCCTCTGGCAGAGCGCACGGCAGCGAGAAGGCTGGGGCACCTGATGTGCTATGAGGACCATAGTTCCGGTCACACCTGCGGGATGACAAGCATACCGCCAGCATCCCTGTTTTTTTGCTACACAGTTGTAGCTACAGCCGACACGGCCACAGGCAGCTTTATCAGAACCGACTGTGGAAAGAAGTCCGCTCGGCGTCCTAAATGTCGACACAGAGCCGAGTCATTATCACCTTCGACGCACTGCCACCACTACGCCGTCATTGAAACTCCACGACGGAGACGTGGTGAAATTACGGGTTTGAAGTCCATTTGACGTTTGGTATTTATTTATTTTTATTTTTTGGGGTTTTTTTCCCACATTTTGCCCGAAAAAAGTTCTTCTATGGATTAAGCTGACTCTGGCCGCCGGATTTGTGGCCTGCTCATTTTTGTGGTAACAAACATTTTTGAAATGCTTGTGCGCTTTAAAAAAAATAATGTTAAATGCATAGTTGCGAAAAGAAAATCACCTTTATTTCCTTTGCTCTAACAACCTTAAAAATAGGTACAACATAGTGCTCCAAGATTAGCCAGAACAGAGCCAGGAAACATTCAATAAAACCACCCCATTACTGTCTTTCAAGTCACATAAAAAAGCTCTACCTTTGAGTGAGGATGGAGGCTATTTTTGAGCTGAAAGTAGTAAAAAAATCACAAAACAAGAAGTACAAATCAGAAAGCTGTTTTATATCAGACCCAAACGCACAGATATTTTCAGAAAATTAGGAGAATAAAATATCAAGAGGAGCAATTCTAAACCTACTCACCTCATAAAAACTAATAGCTGTGGTAAAGGAACAGGTTTATAAACAGTCTTACATATCAAAATTGTAAACAAGAAATACAAAAACACAACAACAGTAAATAATGCAAAGTTACTGTTATATGGCCGTAAAATTTAAATACAGATAATTAATTCAATATAAGAACATTTTAGCCTAAACTTTATAGTTTACTGTCTACCTGTCACCAAAATGGAGTGTGTTCATGGTGACAGTGGCTCAGAACAAAATGGTTTGGAGATCAGGTTAAAATTTACTCTTCATCAGTGACTTCTTTTACATAAGAGTTAATGGTAAAGTCGGAAGATAGATAATTGAGAGTTCTATCAGTATACCAAGAGGCTTTAAACACTCACTTTTATTCAAAGTGGTCTGTGCCACTTGCAAACATGGCTCACTCAAGGCCCATACAGGAGAAAAACAATAGGAAAATCTGCCCATGCGCTAGCATGTGGGTACTATAGTGTAACTGCAAATGTGCACAGGGTTTATTTATACACCTGGAGTGATGACATATCAGAATAGTTATTAATCATTACTGATTATAATAATAACAAAAGTACAGATGTTACTTTTTAAATTAATCTCTATCCCAAATTCAATTTAAAGTTGCCTAATCAACCCTGGATAAGGTTCCAATAGTCAAGAATTGTCAGAAATAATGACATTACTCAATTCCACAAATCTCTACGGTACACAGGGAATGTTCAACAACAGCCAACTTTCAGACGTTACCCTGAAAACACATAAATAAACTGCTCACTACATTACATAGATCAACAAAATCCTCAAATCACAGATAAAAGGAGTGAAAGAAGTGGCATAGAAATATTTGAAGAGTTAAGTAGAACACCTGGTGGAAAAATTACATTGTCTTACTACATACTACGGAATATCTCATTCAAAACACAGGAATGGGGTCTAACTACGGTCATGACAGCGACGTAAGCTAGTACCACTTAGATTCTTTTAAGTGACACCTACAAATTATCATATTATTTTCTGATTGGTTGAAATGAAATAGAACTGTATATGATCTGCCCAAAAAGAAGAGACTAGAAAATTGATACTGTTTAACAACTACTAAAGGCATAAAAAATATGTTGGAATATGCACTAAATTTATAGGATTTTGAACTCCAACAATCAGTCCTCCTTAAAACAAAGTACGAAAATATATCAAAATGGGAGGGAGGGGAAATGGATAATATCCTACTTAGACTAAAAATCTGTAACTTTTTAAATCAAGAATTCTACAATGGCCATGGACTATCAATCTCTTGACATTCATCACAATGAGTCTACATTCAAACATATTAATCTGCTGCTTCTAGAGACCATACATTGGCTTTGGCATATTTTCAGTGAAACAAGTTTCTTTCCAGCAAGATGTTATTTTTTTTTTCTCTCCACAAATTACTATCCATTAAAAACAGGATAAGCATTAAAAACCCAGTTATCATGCCATCGAAGTGCACGAAATTGTTGGAGCTCTGCTCGAAATAATGAGACTTTGGAGCTTGGAACAGGAAAGTTGCGGAACCAAGATATAAGCTGTTCTGAGAGCTCTTCAGCATCCCGAAATACCAAACTGTTCTGTTCATGTTTCACCAGTTCATCAAGGCTGCAATAACAAATCAAAAATGTTATAAAATTGTGAAGCATTAACTAAAAACGAAAGCACTAGATTTATTTCTTCTCTTCACACTTACCACTTGAATTTGATTGCACAGACAGGCAAACAGCAGCCAAACATGTCAACAACTTTCATTGGTAGATCAAGGCCACTTGATGAGGTATGAAGGCAAACCCCAAGGTCAGCACTTGCTGCAAAAGAATAGAAGTCACAAGTAGAAATTACAGCAAAAGTTTAAGGAGTTTGTGAGAATACAACACTTTTGCATCAGATAGGTTGGATGGAATTGGGAGAATGATGATGATTATGTTGTTTACTTCAACAAGATGTTTACCTAGCAGCGAAGGGTAGTCTTGTGGTTGTAGCCAGGGGGTAATTACTTGAACATGGCGCCACTTTTTACTGGCAATAAGATTGCAATAGTAGTGTTTCAAAGGTCCCTTTCCAGTGATGACACAGACAAGAGGAGGGAGGCCTGATTTACCAGAAGCTCGTTTTGTTTCATATGCTGCACGATAAAAATAAAGAAAACACATGAATCTGTGCACTTGATAAATTGAGAAAAAAACTGCCACTGTCTACTTCAAATCTTCTAATTTTCTTACTTTGAAGAGCATGGAGAAGAAGACCAAAATCTTCATCCTCTGTCCAACTTGTACTAGAGACTAGAAGACCAGGCCTATCATCTCGCAACTCATACTGCCCATCCAAGGCTGCTCTTGTAAATCTAGTCACTTCTAAACCACTTCGAAATTCTTCAAAATCAACACCAAGTCTGAGGAACAGTTCATGCTCTTCCCTCACAGATATAGGGCGGAAAATATCAGGTGGGCGGTCGTATAAGGTTGTGGCACTAAGGAAGATGGGAACAAAACTTCATTTGTCTGAACTATGCATAATAAAAACAGATGTTTCCATTTTGGATCAGAAGTGAATACCTTATATTCCAATTTTTCTCCAAGTCTTCTCTCATGGCTTTTGTAACACAAAAATGGGCAGATGCTTTTCTTCCAAAGTAGAACTCAATCCACTTGTAAAACCGTACCAGAATGTGCTGCTCTCCAAGAGTCAAGCCCATTATCGAAAATCCATAGTTGTGCCAGTCAACAATAAAGCAAGAGTTCATACAAAAACAATAAAACCAGCAAACGATCATTGCTGGCACAGCTGGAGGATTTTGCAGCAAAACATAGTCTGACTTTGGTTTTAAAAACAATGCTGCTAGAAGAGTACAAAACTGCCACAATACTTTGAAGGGCAAAAATGCAGCTGTAAGTTAAAAGAAAATTCACTGTTTAGAAATTTCGGAACTAGGTACTAGGTACTAGGTACGATGTAGAAAGACCTTTCTACAAGGTCTTTCTACATTGTGGTATTAGGGGACGGGGACATGTACAAAATTATAATTCATGTAACCAATAATTATTAGGACTCAAGCAAGGGGATAGTTCAGTAACAAATTAATAAAAATTGTAAACGATCTAAGTACATACCACTTCGTATATCAGGGCAAGGTGACATGTAAATAAAACGTACATCGTGGCGTTCCCGAAGCTCAGGTATGGGTTCAGAACCTCCATAACCTACAACGTCAACGTCAAATCCTTCTTTCGCTAACGAAAGAGCGTGATATTGCATGCGTGGGCTTCTTCCAACATCTCCGACTACGACGACGCAGACAGACTTTTTCTCTCCTGACATTTTGATAAATTTTTCTACCTAAACACGAATGATTTGTAGCATTTCTATCATCTTTGTTTACTTCAGCAGAAACTCATACACGCAAAAGTCTACTGCTGGCAACATCGCTTGTTTTCGTAATCGACCTCTAGCGACTCTCGAAGCGAAGCAGCCAACACAAGAAGCGACAGAAATTTTTCTGGACAATGCATTTGACAGATATAAAGAGTTAATAAATTATTGCATCAACTGTAAAAACATAAATAATGAATACAGAATATTTTTAAAAATCCATTTTTAATTTCACAGTTAACAGGGGTTTGGAGGTGAAGATGGCATGTTTTTCAAGTTTTTGTTTGGCCAAACTGTCAAGCAGACGATGCACAAGGAGCTGGAGTTTGAATTTTTCCGTTTCACTGCTTCGTTGTTTAGTGTTAGGTTTATTCTAAGTTAAGAGTTAATGTCTGAGATACTTAGCCATCTCTGACAAATAAGAGCTGATGAATTATTTCAGTTTGAAACAGAACTGACTTCTTACTTGAAGGTTTGTAACAATTTCCTGTCAGAATTTTTGCATTGCATTTTGAATTAACTCTAGTTTTTACGTATTTACTACTCGTTAGATGACAACACCTCCAAGCAAAAGTAGAATGGAATGTAAAATATCAGTAGAGGATGTTGATATTACGGATGATGAAGTAGAGTGTCTGCGCACGATCCTTGAAAATTCAGACTCTGAGCCACCTGGACCAATGTATCAAGGTAAACCACCACAACCCTTCTTAACTTGTATTGTTACTTTTCAAATATAAGTTGTATATTTTAGCAAAATATATCATACATTTATTGTAATTGAATGTTTAGATACTAATAAGCACCTTGCTGAGCTCCTCATGAATTCTGGAAATGAAGAGGAAGCGAACTACCATTTATCTGAAAGCCTTGGCACTACCCTACGTAATCAAGCATGTTCTCGCACGGAGATTCAAATAAAGTATAGAAGCTGTTTCCACCATAACTGTCTGTTATGAAATTTCAGAAAAGAGATTCATTTTTGTTTATTTTTTTCCATTGTTAGAAAGAGCAAAGGGGATACATCCATGCTGCAAGATCTAATAAAACACCTGGAATTTGGAGGGGGCTGTCACCATGGTGTCACTGGGCTTAACAAGAGGCTCTCAGATCTGCCATCTGGTAAGGCAGTCAAATTTTCTAGAATGTAGATACTAAAGTCTTAAACTCCCACAACCCACAATATTTTCCTTTTTCTTGTTATTTACCAGAATGGACAGTACTTCAGCTTACTTTACAATGGGATCCACTGTCTCGCTTTCCTCCAAGAAATAGAGATGTAAATCGTGGTCTAGGTACTTTCTTCACACGATTCTCATGTGGAGACATTTCGCATGAAATGAATGATCTTGGGTGAGATTACTGATTTTGAAATCACTGTACTTAGTTGAGAACATTTCAATATGATACAGTAGTTACATACTATCTTGGAAAAAGTGTAAAAAACAGTCTGTTTCTTTTACTCTTCTACAGCGAAGGTGGAAAGCCAATTACTATATTCTTACCAACTTTGGATGATAATAAGGATCGGTTGTCACTTATGGCAGCAATGAGAAGTCATCTGTCTAAAATGACTAGTTCCAGGAAAGTACAAAGGAGTAAAATTCATGAGGAATGTAGCCTTGGTGTTGAGGTACAACTATATAGTATTACATCTGCCTATTGCAAAAAATACCTATTTCTCTATGCAGCTCAAAAATTACAAAATATTAAAATGATTTCATTTTAGGCAACTGTAAACGACATGCAAATGTGGATAGGGGGATGGCATTGCTTATTTTTTGGTAGACTAGCAAATGAAAAACTACAAACTGTCATAAAAAATAATGTGGACTCAATAATATCCTCATATGAAATTGATTTGAGCAGTGAAGTGAAACAAGATACTACGTCAAAGTCACAAAGGTATCTTTTGTTTATTTCTTGTTTATTGCTGTGGTATCTTGTGGTATTATTTTTCATATTCTGACAATACTTACAGATTGAAACAGACTAAACAAATCATAAATTTGTCAGAGAAGACCTTAAGGATATTGTATTTATTAGCTTCATCTCCAGCAGTAACTCCAAAAGAATTATTAGTAGTAATTTCTACACTTTTAGACGACCAGAGGTTTGCAGTGTATTTGAGTAAGAAAATCTGTGAAATAACTAGTACACATTCAGCTGCCTTACACGCAGCTAAACGACACCCAGTTGTACTTTTAATTGATGAGGTAGGTTCTGCACTTCTCAATTTCAGAATGTTGTGAACAACTGTGAACTGTGGTACAAATCCTCGAATTATTTTATCTATTTTATCAGGAAATGGACATACTGCCCTTTGAAGTAATGTCACCATTGCAAGAACAACCCTTCACAAGAATGCCCAGTATCCATTTCCTTCATGCATATTATTTGCTGCACAAAAACACTGTTATTAGGTATAACTTAAACTCAAATTTCAAACTAGAAATCAAATTATTAATTCTGTAGTGTGCATGGGAGAATTTTTTTTAATCTTACAACAGACATAGGCAAAAGCTCTGTTTGTTTAGATTAAAGTCAAAATTTACAAGTTTTTGATTTTTGTGTGTGTGTTGTTTTTTTTGTTTTTTTTTTTTTCAATCTAGGAATGGGGTTGATACTGACAAATGTTTCTATATTATAAATCCTTCAAAGGATCTACCTCAGCTGGAAAAGGTATTTACGTCTATTTCGTCAATTTCTTGTGTCCAAAAGTGGAAAGGTGTTGTAAACAAAATCCCAACACCAGAAGAGGTTTTAAAGGGACTTCAAGCAAATGACATGTTTTTGTAAGTTACCTGATTATTAAGATTCTTTAAGATACCTGGTTATCTTGTTTGCTTTCTTGTCGACTTCTCTTAAATTTTTATTTTTTTGTAGATACTGTGGGCATGGCGGTGGAAATCAGTTTATACCAAGGGATAGCATCGAAAGAACTGATATAAAATCTGTTGTATTCCTGTTTGGCTGCTCTTCAAGCAGCTTGGAGTGTCTTGGAGGAAGAGTAGAGATGTCTTCCCTCTTCTACAGTTACTTAATTGGTGGAAGGTAAATCTGAATTCTGTTTGAAGGCTGATTCTGTTGTACCATATTATTTCCTTTTGCATATGATGGTTTACTTTTCAGTCCTTGTGTTGTTGGCATGCTTTGGCAAGTTCTCGATTCAGATGTTAATGCAATGACTCAAGAACTGGTCAAAATTTGGTGTTCCTCTGAAAAATCCTCAGTGAAAGAAGCTGGTGACTTACAGGCGTTGGAAACAGAGTTTGGAAATATGAAGATAAATGCGTCCAAAGGTAAACTAATCCCTTTGTTACTTTATTTTTAAGAAACTTGCCTCTTCCATGTAGTATCACTGCAGAAAGAATTGAGCCCTTTCTGCTTGGGATATTGACATGAGAGGGATTCAATTCTTTCTGCGCTGATAGTACCTACCTAAGATTTTTCTATTCAGCAGGAAGACAAAATACTGGAAATTTATCTGAAGCAGTTTCATTGGCAAGAAGAAAAGCAGTACGTTTTCTCAATCAAGCAGCTCTTGTAGTACGGGGTTTACCTGTGTTTTCCTTGAGCAAATCATAGCACTTACCTGTGATAAACTACTTGTTCTTTAGATAAATTTAAAATTCTGTCTAGAAATTTGAGTTGTATATTCAGATTGTATCTAAATCATGGCATACTTAGGATAGGTAATAAATCTTATCAAGAAACAATCAAGTTTCTTTATTAGTGATGTTAATTTGGTGTAAATTATTTCAGTCTATTAAACTTTTAAAAAACTTAACTTAAATTGTTGCACCATTAAAAAGTGACACTGAACTTCCCTCCCTGTAGCTCATTCTCCTTTTAAAAAAACAATTTAGAAATGTAAGACTTCAGAAATAAATTATTCAGAGGCATTGAAATATGCTCCAGTTTTACAATGTTGCTAGCACCAACTCGGGTACCAAATGTAGTGACTCTTAAAACTTGTGAGTACCACAGCTTAAAAATTAAATCGATCAATATTTTAAAAACATTCTTAAGAGGGGCGGCCGAAAATTACAGAAATAGCAAGAAGAGCGACCACTCTTGCAACATATTGAAAAGAATTTCAGAGCGCACCAATACATCGTCCGCAACATGTCTATATACATTTTTCATCACAGATAAGCTGCTGTCCTTGTCGCCATCCGGCTAGATGCACAGACGGCTGGGTTAAAGCCCGCGCATCAGGCTTGGCTCAGCAATAATAATGATAATTACAATTACGTCCTGCCTTGTGGACGACAGTTGACTCGCCAATGCCGAAGGCAAAGGGCAAGAAAACCACGTGTCTCTCTGACGCCTGACGCAGCTCACGAGCAGTCGGCCGAAGTCACTACCGCGAAGCTGGGCAGGGCGGGGGCAGTCTGGGGAGTTGGCGGCCCTCCCGAGGGTTTCACCTCGCCCGTCGGACGGCTTCAAGACTTGTCCGTCTTGGTGGCGGCCGCGTCCGTCTGCTCCGCGGCGGGCTGCGCGCCCCGCGCCTCGTCCGTGGACTGCGACTCGACGTACGTGTACCGCACGGCGAGCCAGATGAAGAGCACCATCACGACCAGCATCAGCCCGGCGAACAGGAAGAACTCGCTCGCCTGGGGGACATCCGGGGCGGGTGTTATGGCACCGTGCGAGCAGGGATTTTTAAAGTCCCCAATTTTTCTGATATAATTGGAAAACTTTCCAAAATTGTTTTTTGTTTTTGTGTTTTGTTTTTTGTTTTTTGAAAAAAAATGTCAGAAAATTTGGAAAAAATCCACAGAAGTTTAAAAAAAACAAAATTCAGACATTTAAAAAATCTTACCCCTCCCCCCCCCCAAAAAAAAACTCATGGAAAACTACAATACAATCCCTCGGTGCAGGCAGTGCAGGCCCGAGGGAGGCGCCGAGCGCCTGCAAGCGGTGGGGTAGGCCACCCCGCACGGCCGCGCAGCCCAACGGGCCTGCCTACGCGGGCGCTCCGCTCCGAGCGCTCTGACTCACCTGGCTGGAGAAGAATCTGATCTCCGTAATGAGGACGACGATGAGGTTCCCGAAGGCGACAGTAAGGAGCCAGGCCGATGTGAGAACAGACTTCATGCTGACTGGCGCCTACGGGAGGAAAAAGAGATCGGGGGAGTGTATCATTGAAGCACCTTCAGGAGAGTGTTACCCAAAGTGTTCTCCAGTCAGATTTAATACATTTTTTGTTTATTTTCAAGTACCTGTGTGAATGCAAACTCCAGACCGGTGACGGAAAACATGACCTCGGCCACAGACATCACGATGTACTGGGGAAGCAGCCACATGAGGTGGATGACATTGGGATTGACGTCTGCCAAGACGACTGCGTCCTGGAAATGCATGTTTCGTACTCACCCTTGACTTGACTAACGCGTAAAATAATTATGTCAGGCCACCTTGTCACTTACCGAATTATCGACTAGAATAGTGTAAACTCCGCCGACATCTAAAAGTTGGTTGGTGGCTACCTCTTTGCCATCGACGGTTATGGTGTACCTGAAAGTGGTAAAGAATAAAAACAAGGGCAAGTGACTGACTGTGACGAGAAAATCTTCGTAGACAGACTTATACATACGATTCAGCTGGCTCCAAAGCTGGGACCAGAGCGTAATCACCGGTTCCAGAGATATTGTTACTATTCGACATTAGCTCGCCGTGCATCGAGAATTTCACAGAGTGCTCCGAACTATCAGAGAAGTGGTACATGACCCTGCAAAGAGCAGTTGTCGCGGTTAGGTATCACATACAAAGGGAGCCGTGCAGGATGGGAAAAAAAGGAGTATACGAGCAAAAGACACTAGCCTCACTCGAGGACTGGCGTCCTTCTCGAGGATGTCTTCGACTCTTCTCGACTGCACGCTGACCACTTTCTGAGAGACGGGGTCGATCGAGTAAAGCTGGAACGACACGGACTGCGGACAGGAAAAGGGCGCGGATCAGAGAAGTTGATCGCAAAACGACCTGGCGCCCCGCCAACACCACACCAGCCGGACGGGCGGCGACGGTCGCGCACCTTGTCCTCCTCGAGGTTGAGGGCGAGCTGCTCGGCCGAGGCCAGGCAGGAGCCGCTGAGCCCCAGCACGACGGAGGCGTTGCCCTGCGGCGCCGGCACGTCCGTGCGCGTCCACGCCTCCAGGCGGCGCACGGGGAACGTCTCGTTGGCGTAGGCGAGCTGCAGGTCGCACGGCAGGCTGTTGTAGACGCGCACCTGCGCCAGCCCGGCCTCCAGCGGCACGGGATAGTGCGCCTGCAACACGGGACGGGAGACTTTAACGCACCGCAGGCCGGGGCAACGCCGCAAAAGGCAGCGGCGAAAAAATAATTTTAAAAATATTACAAAAATACATAAATAAAAAAACAAACACAAAAAACGGTTTTAAGGGTGAGGTAGACCCTGAGAGAGGCCGAAAGTTTTCGACCAGCTCGTCTGCCCACCTGCAGTTGCAGCTCCACCAGCGCCGAGATGACGAAGGCGGCGGCGGCCAGGACGCCGCCGGTGCCCATCTTCTGCAGCGGGCGCGTGAGCAGGTGCGCCCTGTTGAGCGCCGGGTACACGACGGTCTCGAAGAGCGGCAGGAACAGCAGGATGAGCAGCGGGTTCACCACCTGCATCTGGTCCGGCTTGATGGTCCACGAGCCGATGCGGCCGTTCATGTTGTTGGCCTTGTTGTTTGGTCGTGAAGAAGAGAAACGGTTTTTACTTTATTTGTGCCCGCCGTCTCCAGTGGGTACGAAGTGTTGATGCGGGGGGGGGGGGGGGCGCTCACCTGGAAAGTCCACCTCGAGCCCTGCTGGTCGTAGAGCGCCCAGAAGATGGGCAGGGGCACGAACAGCAGCAGCACCCTGAGCATGCCGCGGATGTCCGAGCGGAGCTTCTCGCTGAAGCGTTCGTCGGCGTGCTCGAGCCAGTGGCTCTTCATGTCCGCGCTCTTCATCTTGTTGGTCAGCGCGTTCTGTAATCCAGTGCATGTATTGCGTCAAAAGGGGGATTCCATGGGAAAAGAGTGGAAGAGGGCTTCATCGCGCACTCACCCAAACGCACTTGGAGACGTCCACGAGCACGTTCCCCTGTGGCTTGAAGACCTTGTAACCGGGCCTACCGATGACGAAGATGACTGAAACGGGAAGTGACCGCTTTAGTGCGACGAAGCGGCGAAGGGGAGCGAGAAGGTGCCGCGCCAAAGCCCGCCAAAGCGTGAAACAACCAGAGAGAGCCTCACTCACCCAAGGACAGGAGCATGAGGATGGCGGGGACGCCAAAGGCGAGCGGGAAGCAGGTGGTCTGGCCCATGCAGGAGATGGTGCGCAGCTCGGGCGTGAGCCAGGTGGAGATGAGCGAGCCCGCGTTGATGGCGAAGTAGAAGACGCTGAAGAAGGAGGCGAGCTGGCGCGCCTGCTGCGGGAGCACGAACTGGTCGCCGCCGAAGGCCGAGACGCACGGCTTGATGCCGCCCGTGCCGATGGCGATCAGCAGCAGCCCGATGTACGTCATCTCCCTACAGACCGAACGACACCCTCCTTCCATTTTGCTGCATAGCTGCTAAGGCATCATCTAAATACGAGTTAACTAATCGTTTAGCTATGTGGCTTGGCCCTTAAAAAATGTAGCCAAGTCGCTATAAATGTAGTCATGTCGCTAAAAATGTAGCCAAGTCGCAAAAAATGTAGTCATGTCGCCAAAAATGTAGCCAAGTCGCAAAAAAAAGTAATGTCGCTAAAAATGTAACCATGTCCCTAAAAATGTACCCATGTCGCAAAAATGTAGCCAGGTCTCTAAAAATGTAGTCCTGTCGCCAAAAATGTAGCCAAGTCGCCAAAAATGTAGCCATGTCGCGAGAAATGTAGCTGTGTCGCAAAAATGTAGTCATGTCGCAAAAAATGTAGCTGTGTCGCTAATAATGTAGCTGTGTCGCAAAAAATGTAGCCATGTCGCCAGAAATCTATCCATGTAGCTAAAAATGTAGCCTCATCGCTAAAAATGTAGCCACATCGCTAAAAATGTAGTCATGTCGCAAAAAATGTAGCCACATCGCTAAAAATGTAGTCATGTCGCAAAAAATGTAGCTGTGTCGCTAAAAATATAGTCCTATTGCTAAAAATGTAGCTAAGTCGCTCAAAATGTAGCCAAGTCGCAAAAAATGTAGGCATGTCGCTAAAAATGTAGCCGAACCGATAAAAATTAAGGAGAACAGCTAAACATGGCTAATTTTACAGCTACATAGCTAAATATGTAGCTAAACATTTAGCTGTTATACAGGCCTATCGGCTTCGACGCGTGTCTTACCGCGAGGGAAGGCCGATGTCCGTCGCTGAGGCCGTGGCGACGACGAAGTTACCGGCCGCATACACGATGGACAAGTAGGCGATCGTTCTGCGGAGTCCATTTTGGTATCAATAACCGCACACAGCGCAAGAATGCGCCACCAATGTGTTTAATTCAACAAAGTGACGAGGTTTTCTCAGCACCTACTTGAACTTCCCCAGATAGCTGTCCGCTAATAAGGCGCCGAAGACGGGGAAGAAGTAGCAGAACATGACAAACATGTGGTAGATGATGGTGGCATTCTCTTCGTTGAGCTTGAGGGCTTTGATCATGAACAGCGACAGGATTGCTGGACAACAAACGGAGAAAGTGACGAAATTAAAGAACCGTTGCACAAATCAACCACCGCACGCCGCGGCACGCCGCCCCAATCCCAATCGTACAAACTACTCACTCCGCATGCCGTAGTAGGAGAAGCGTTCGCAGAACTCATTTCCGATGATGAAGAAGACGGATTTCGGATACTTCAACGACTGCAACACACCAGAGACCGGGAGCCATTAGTCAGTCACGGCAAAAGATTGCGTTTGCACAATTAGAACTTTTTCACACAAGCAGTTTAAGCAACAAGCCGTGAATTTGCAAATTGCATCAAAGGAATTCCTTCAAAATATTTTCAAATCAAAACACATATGACGAGACTTCTAGAAATCACATAGCGGTGGTGTCAAAGTAACTTAAACATGATCGCCCCTTTAGTGGAAAGGATGGAAAATACTCTGAAATTTTCAAAAAGTATGTCAAGTAGTTTGGGCTTGGAAACATGACTTCCCAAAACGTTGTTGGAATGAAAACTCCGGTCTTCTTTTCGGAAATTTCCGAAAACTTCGGAAAGCAGAAAGGCACGATTACCAAAATTGGGTTCGACAGCAAAATTCCGTTATCGCCCATTACTGTAACGAAACCGAGCCGCCACGTAATGAACGGAGGACGGATAAATTGTTTTTTAAACAGCTCTCTATGCTCATCACATCACTTCACTGCTGCTTGCTGTTAGCCTTAAGGAGGCGCACGCGAGGAGCGGCAACCTTCGGCGCGATATGGCGGCAAGTTTGAATACTAATTGCAGCCCGCCAGCCTCAGGTCCTTATTCCCTTCGCGTGGGAAAGCACGCCATGCGGCGCGGACACGCCGCGACAGAGCGGGAAGCAAAGGACATAGGGAGAGAGAGAGGGAGAGAGAGAGATGGCGAGACAACGTCCTCCAGGTGACGACGGCTCCTCCGTCTCCCCCGCTCCCGCTCGCACCGGCGCGTGGAAACGCATTCTGGCTGTCGCTATGGCCGCTGCAGCGGCGGTGCAGGCGATGGGGGGGCATTCCAACGCCGCGAAGCCTCGGCTCCGAGCGGCCTTGACTCCGATACGCGATGCACGTACAGGAGGGGGGGGGGGCACGCACGCACGCACGGTGCGCAGCG